TCACTGACGTTTTGTTATTCCAACTCTGATTCTTTTTTGTTATATCACGTTTTATCGTCACTGACGTTTCATGTCAAGTCCCACGGTAATGCTGTCGAACGTGATAAAAAGTATCCTATTGCAATTTCCTGGTTCTAAATTACCTCCCTGACAATTTTCAGCAAAATCGGTTCAGCCGTTTTTGGGTTATAAGTGAAGTAACTAACACGACTTTCTTTTATATATATAGATAATGGTTTTTCGCCATGAATTTAGTAAGATTAAGATTGTGATGGATCTGAAAAATAAAATAAAACAAATGGTTAAAACGAAATTTTTACATCTACGACTGTCACACCCGTCTTTAAGGGAGCAGAGGAAATTCTACTTTGCCAATGTTATTTGAACTTTTAATCTTCTATCTTCTATTATCTATTATATATATAAAAATGGATTGCTGTTCCTTAGTCTCGCTAAAACTCGAGAATGACTGAACCGATTTGACTAATTTTAGTCTTGAAATACTCCTGGAAATCCAGGGAAGGTTTAAAAGGTGAGAAAAATCGGAATAATTGCCGAGAAAACCCTAAAAACAGCCCTTTTCTATTTCCCATACAAACGTTTTTTTTGACATTAGATTTGACAACTACCTAATATGTCAATCATTCTGTTTGATTGAAACAGGAAAAATCTAATTATTTATGGCCTCTAAGACGGAATAGAGTTCGCCTGGTCAGCTATAGCTACATATATTACTCTTGACCAAACTAACGCGGACGAAGTCGCGGGCAAAAACTAATAAGATATAAATATCGAAATTAGTACACCTACATCTATATCTGTAGGATTTTAAATCATTGTTTTTGAATGTTTCTATTTTGTGTTGATTTACCTCTTCATCTCTATAGCTATCACTCGAACTCTTTTCAACTTCTTCTGGAAGTTTGCATGTTCTATTTAAGGCATTCAAAGATCGTCCTTCCTGAAGGTCTAATAACATAAAATAAAAACATTTTTGTATTAAATACAAAGCCACAATTACCACGTGGTAATATATATAATTTTTAAAGAACAATACTTGTAACAAATAAGTAACTTACGATCGACATTTTTACAAATAAATAAGGTTCTACGAATATGACATCATTCCCTTTCAGATTACTCGTAATGTTTAAAGGTGATTGTAATTAGTAGATAAGTTCATTGTTTTATTGTACATACATCGATGTCAAACATATCGTGAGGGATTTAAACCTAGAATTATTTAGTATAATCTTATTATATTCTTCCTCCGACAACACGGTTTAAACATGCGCTTAAGTATTATTATTATATTGCCGAGTTCTCGTTTAGAAATTAAACCAAAAATGCGAATGAAATGTACAAGTTTCCCCTTACCAGTTGGCCAGTCTTCATTTCTTTGATGGTATTCATGCACAAAGTAACGACATTCTTCACTTGATTGTCTTGTCTCTCCAACATTATTTTGAAATCCTTTACGTATCGTTTACTTTCTATGAGATAGGAAACAAAGAGAATCATTATTATCAATCAATTAATTTATATGAGTATCACTATAATTGGAAAATGCACTAATTCTCTTCAAATCATAAGGTGCCACGTGATTGTTATTATCGAAGATCTTAGAAAGTAAGAGCATGCTCACATTTTAAATGAACGGTAACTGTAGTAAAATTATTGGATTCATTATAAGAGTGAGAATAATGTATGTACGAATAGTTATAATTAGGGATGAAAAAACACAAATAATCAAAATGAATGAATAGAAAATTACCATACCAGATATCCTAAGCAGTTACGTGGGCCTTGCGTGCTCCCTTGTTTTTATCTCTGACGAAAATAATATTCCCATTGTTAAGATCGGCCTCGTGTTGGATTATATTATTAGTATTAATAACGCCGTAATTAGAAAACGCACTTTTATCTTCGACATATTCTACAAGCAACCAAAGTTTAGGATCCATTGCTATTCGCAGGTAGAAATATTAGCAAACAAAAGAATATGAAACACTGATCTTATAATAATCTTTTAGTGACTCTAAGCCGTTGGAAGTCGTTTGAATTTTAAGAAACAGTACTAATTTTACAAATCCATTGAAAGTTATAAACTTAATCATTTTCTAGAATTCTACCATTGAAAATATCTCTTCACTCAAATATAACAATAAACATATGTTTATAATCAGCTGTAGTTTTTAAGCAATGTGGTAATAAGTACGATTTTTAAATACTTGTGTATATTATGGGTACACCCGAAAAGTTCCTAAAACACTTATAGGTAAGAAATATGTAGTATTACGGCCAATTATTAGCTAATTTCCTGCAAAACCCGAATTCAAATTGAGTCAACACATATGAGTTTGTTATTTGTATGAATGTTTAGAAAGTAAAAAACTCAAATTAGAAATTCTTCTTGAATGAATAAATAGTTATAAAACTTTCAGAAGTTTTACCTTTTCGTGATAAAAATACAAAGGAATATAAATAAATATCAAAACTTTTACATATTCTTAGCATTTTATTTTTTATGATGTAATGTACATACTTTTCACATTATTACATATAAAATAGACAAATAAGTTCAACATACAATCAAAAATATTTTTTCTTTTCAATAAGTTTCATTTCAATTAGTTTTTGGTTCAAAATTAAAACGTGAATGATATTTTCTTGTTTAAATGAACTTGGTCAAAACCAATAAATTTTTGATATATAAACATACATAGATGGTCACTTGAAAGCTTTTCCTTTTAGTAAAAAATAAATCCTATTGAATACTTTTACTTAACAACATATATTATTAAACATCCATTATTTTTCATTTCATAAAATAAAAGGTATACCTAGGACTATAAATGTAGTTATATATATATCGGATTTATTATAAATTCGTTGTTTTTAAAGAGAGGGACGCCAGCCTCGCTGACGTCACTTTTGTCACTTCATCTAGAACGTTCCATGATATTTTAAAATGAAACTTCAATTGTTCTTAATGTTCCAGTATTTCGCGAAGGTTCTTCATAATAATATTTTTCAATGGTCCGTACTAACTGAACTCTGCAGGCATGCGGCCAGACGTCGTATTTATATCAAGATTTAAACATAGTTCTATTCTTCTTTTAAACCATCTTTGATTTCGTTTTACTTTAAACAATAATCATGAATACTAATGAGTTTTAATAATTAATTATTAATTGATGACAGGCTCAAGTTATTTTCACGTCGCATTCGTCATTAAAGCTGATAGCGCCGATATATATGTATAATATGTAATAAGATAATGCATAAATGAACATGTATACATTTGGTAAAATAAAAATGAAGCAGTACAAATAAATTAATTTTTCTTAATTTTCCTACATATTGAGGTATGTGAAATGAAATATCAAACTCAAACTTTTGTTTCACAACATAATGATAAAGTATATTTTCCGATATAATAATTTGTAACAGATTATATTGTAGATTGTTTTTTTATATAACATAAAAAATAATAAAAAATTGCAATATGGTATTACAAAGTTAAAGAAACGATCATAACATTTGTGATCCATTTAACAATATTAAACTACTACAGTATCCTTCACTTTCACTTTTAATTTTATATTGTTTTGAAACTGAAAAGATTTGCTTGTCTAAAAGGAATTTTTAATATTCGTCTTTATAAACCTTCATTAACTGAACATTATTAAGTTAGTAAAGGGACTCTCATTTATAATTAAATAAGAATTCTAAAGTAAAAAAAGGTTTGTAAGTCAATATCAGATTAGGAAAAAGATTTGAACGTAGTAATATTGATTTTAAAAATAATATTATACTTCATACCTGTTATATGCTTTTAGATACTAACCTGATTGTTTCAAAATACAAACAAAACGATTCCTGTTATTTTAAAAATAAAATATATTTATAATCCCTATAAGAATTACTCTTGAAAGCTAATTAGTTCAATAAATGGATAAACTAGTTTCTAGTGAATGAATTTTCTTCGTAGTCGTATTGTATTTGAAATCGTATTTGAAAGAATTGAAAACAATAGAAGGCAATAAGAATTAAGGATGTACCTGATAATGAAACAAAAGAGTAATATAATGAAACCCCCAAAGCTACCCGATGGCGAGGTGACTTAGTCAACCCTGTTACAAATATTGGTCAGTGTACACTCAGTAATTGAGGAAGTAACCACACTTGTTGTTATTCTGATATACTAACTGTGAGAGTAATTTTTTTATATCGGTTAGTCTTATTTTTAACAATTTAGAATATTTCTAAATGGAATATTTTTAAGTGTAAACGTATTCGTTTTAGTTCTAACTTGTTTGTTAATGTAATGTCAGGTAGTATGTATGAGTGATTTTAAATAACAAAAATATATCTTGTCAAATTTTATGTTCAATTTCGGCATAAAAATTCTTTCCAAGGTTTAAATAATTTAGAATAATAAATGAATTTTTATTATATTGGTAGAAATCAGAGAGACGCTATGACTTAATAATATTAAAACAAACCATTCTTTTAGTCTTATTATGTATTGATATTCAAGATTTTCGCGTGTGTTTATTTAAATGGAAGGGAGCTTTATTACTATATTATAAATATTAACGTATAACGTATACAGTATCTAAGACAACTTAAATACGCGTAGTATTCGGAACACTGATATTCATTTCAATTTTAATTTAAGGGTTAAAAATAGCTATAACTAATGTATTAAAAATAAAATATTCAAGCACTCCTCAATAACAATTAAAAATATAAGTCCAAGTACTAGGCTTACACTTCCAACAAATGGTCAGCAGGTAGAAGTGTCTAAAATAAAAGATGTTATTTAGACGTAAACTGATCTATTAGGATATAATAAGGAATATTACTGTTAACGTTGTGTACGTCTAGACTAAGGAAACCTTTACTTTGTACCTGCAACTTGCAACAAAGTCTTGGTATTTTCATATGTACTACTTTTGTCTAACTTCGTGTCTATTTTTTAATATTTTTTGCAGTTAATAATGACTACTGTGATGATAACATCTGAAATGGATGCGGCTCTGGCCTTGTTGGAATTACACAGAAATAATTATGGTAAATATACTTAAAATAGAAAAATCTAGTTCATCCATTCATTATAACATGTCTATACCAATTATTTTGTATGTGTTATTCATATATGTGTTTTGATTGTAGTTTAATTAATTTCAGTGAGAGTAAATACCCGACCAATAGCCGATATGGATGGGCCAGTTCACATTGCAACAATGTTTAACGGTTGCATAACTTCCAAGGTAGTATGATTATTAGTAGTTATTATATTTATAGAAAAAGACTACATATTTTTGATTACAATAATACACATCTCAAGAATTTCAGAATTCGCATTCACCGAGTTCTAGCCGTAAAGATAAAACAACCGCTGAACAAAAGTCGTGGATGGTGACGTCAGGAAGGAAAATACGAAAAACCAGTCCAGTCCCCAAGGAGAAAATAAAATACGAAGTAGCAACCCAAACGGATATCGAAATAAATATACCTAAAAAAGAAAAATTGGAAAAAGTAATTAAAGAATTACATTCCAAAGTCGAGGTACTGGAAGCGGAACTTAAAACCAGAGAGCCAGAGACCCTTTCAGTTCCAGACCCATTAGAACAAATGACAGACTGTTCGAGTGATGACTACTTTGGACCACAGCAGAGGAGGCGATCGCATAAGCGAAAAAGAAATTTGACAGTCACCACAGACTTCGTAAGTTAAATTATTATTAAAGATATAAGTGGTATATTTTTAACATAAAAACTTTCAACTTAACCTATCGTTTCAGAGTTCAATTGGAGATTACGATTCTACATTTAATAAAGATGAAGATACTATAGAGAATGATAATAAGCGAATAAAAAACGCTTTGACTCCAAAAATTACTGTTAAAACTAATAAAGACACGGTAAATCAAGTTCTTTTGTATTATTTATATTATCAGTGTTATTGTTATATAAATATGCTGTAATGTTCCTTAATGTCTAGGTGCCTATTGGAGACGGAAACGCTGTGGTCCCAGCCAGGCTTCTTAAGCATATGGATTGGACTTCATACACAAACGCAACAAGGAAACTACTAACTGCAGTATTTTCGAGAAAGTAAGTAGAAAACTGTAATTTCATAGTGGAAAAATTTCGTTCCAGTATCATAAGAAAATAATCATTATATTTTCAGAGTACTGGCGACCCACTCTTTAACTGGAAAACCTTCACCAGCATTTCCAGACAAACCTGCTAAAAAGAAGCTAGATCCAATGCTAGTAAATGACATTGTGCAGACGGTCGTAGAAAAATGTTGCGTCCCCGAAAATGTTGTCAGGTATGAAAATAATATATTTTCCTGTATCAACAAAGTATTCAAGATTTTCATAAAGGAATATCGTAAAAAAGATTTCAACTAATAATCTCTTTTCAAATTTCAGGACCAGCATCACCACAAAGTGTGCGGACGAAAGTAAAATGTTCCGCACACGAGAAAATAAAAAGAAAAAAAAGACCTCAAAAAAAGAAAACATCACCCCTGATGATGAATCAGAAGAATATTTTTAAGCTAATTAGAAAAAAAATAACAAACATAATCATAAGATAATTAAAATTATTAGTCAGGTAATTAATTACTGTCATTAGCAAAATATAATTCAAGTTAATATGGTAGTGTAAAACTTTTGTTGATTTTATTATTTTTCAATGACAAAATCATACGCATTTTTAACATATTTTAAATTTATGATACTTTTGTTTTTGTTTGAGAGTCAGTTCAGTGTTGCCGATATAAATAGTAAATGTTCTCGTTACATCATCATCTCATTTCATCTTAATAGAGAAGGTCTGGCGAATATTCAAGTCTTTGATAATTGATAAGATTTTTTTTTGTTTACAGATATTGTCCAGTATTATGCTGTGGTCCCAGCCAGGCGTCTCAAACATATGGAGTGGACTTCATACACAAACGCTACAAGAAAACTACTAACTGCTGTATTTTCCAGAAAGTCAGTAGAAAGCATTAAATTCATATTGGAAAAATTCGTTCCAGTATCATAAGTAAATAATCATTATATTTTCAGAGTACTGGCGACCCACTCTTTAACTGGAAAACCTTCACCAGCATTTTCAGACAAACCGGCTAAAAAGAAGACGGATGACTGCTGGAAAGACAGCCGAGGGCGACGGCCTAGCAAGCTCAGCCCGGTATACATAAAGCTAAAAGTCCGAATAAGAAAAATACCCCTGGGACAGTCCGACAGGGGGGGCGAAAGAACTGTCCACCGGTCGATTTTAACAGCGAAAACGGCGCGAATACGGACTTGAAATGCCCTACGTGCGGGAAAAACTACAAGAGACGAGCCTGGTACATTAAACATCTTAAAACACATAATGGTGTTGAAGCGCGACAATCGTCGGTAAGATCTCCAACTTTCACTTCGGATAGAGTTGACCCTCATGTATCTCATGGTGAACCATTAACTGGAAACCACCAGGAGTCCATTAACATCAGGACACGTCTTAGCATTCCTAATGTAAAACAATCGACTTGGAAAGTTCATGACGACAACTTAGCGGTCCTGTTAGAGTATCCGGGCTCGAAGCACGAATTGAACTCGCAGGTAGAAACTTTCCAAAATACCGTTTATGACTACTTTAGCGAGCAATATCCACCTTGTAATCGTTATGCTCGCAAAAATAAAGACAATTCGTTCAAAATAAAAATGCGGAAGAAAAAACGGGAATTAATAAAAAATCTACGTATAACCAAAGCTCTAGGCGACAATCACCTCAGTCATCAACTAGCTAGTGAATTAAGATCAATCCTTAAATTAATCCAAGGAATATCGGCGCAAACTGCAGAATATCGCGATAATTTTGACCGGGCAAAACAAGAAGTAGATTTCGATAAAAACCCTTTTGAGTATTCGAAAACCATTTTTAAGAAAGAACGCGGACCGCTTCTCTTGACCAACGATCAAATTTCGACCATTTTAAGAGCACATACGAAGTGCCTAAAAGTTTAAGACGGTATAGGGATCCAAACGATCAAAAACCTGAATTTCCTCGAATCGAATTCCACGGCATTCCACCAACGCTAGAGGAACTAAGTAGTCAGATCAAGAGGAAGTCGTCTAAATCTGCACCGGAACCCGATGGTATCCCATATATAGTCTTTAAAAAATGTCCATCGGTTCGTAAACACCTCCTAAATATATACGGTAAAATCTGGTCAAGGAAGCAAATCCCGGAGTGCTTCGGGAAAGCAATTTTTGTCCTCATTCCCAAAAAATATCGAGTTACTGATCCGAAATATACTAGACCGATAGCTTTAACAAATACTATATCGAAAATCTTTTTCTCGGTTCTACAAACGAGAATGACGCGATTCATGCTCAGCAACAACTATTTTAGGCCAAATCACCAGAAAGGGTTTTTACCCGGGATTTCTGGATGCTTAAAACACAACACCTTACTGTCGGAGAGTTTGAAAGATGCTAGAAAAAGCGAGCGGCAAATCACTGTTTGTCGGATAGACTTGGAGAACGCGTTCGGGTCGATACAACACGAATTGATGCTATTCGCGCTTAGATGGTACAACTTTCCACCCCTAGTTAGTGATATGATCGCGTCGTATTACTCAAAATTAAGGTTTTCTATAATAACTAAAGAAGGCCCTTCAAAAAGTTTGAGTTATAATGTAGGACTGTTTCAAGGTTGTTGTCTATCTCCAATTGCGTTTAATATCGTAATTAACATCTTAGTAGACAAATTAATCTGTAACGAGAAAAAATGGGGTTATCGGTTTAAGTTTAATAATAAATACACGGAATCCATTTTAGCCTTCGCTGACGATCTCGCAATACTGACACGTAACCCCAAACACTGTCAAGTACTATTAGATGAAGTGGATAAATCCTGTGAGTGGACGGATGGATTGAGGAAGAAACCCAGCAAATGTCACTGTCTGTGTCTTGGTAGGTAGGAATACAAGATACACCTCATACGATCCGGGACTATCGTTAGGCGGTTAATGCATTTTTACGGTTAGGGAAAATGCACCATTTAAATTTCTCGGTCGTAAGATAGATAATATAGGCCGTACTCCATCTTTAGAAGGAATAGTAGATAGCTTTTTGAACGATCTTAACAAGATAGATAGAAATTAGAAATGCAGAACGAGTGGTTAGACATAGGAGATTTTTGCATCTCATTAGCATTAAAATGGCGCACTTTAATTTATGATTGGTCGCCAGCATTGCTAAAATTCTATCTCAATGCGTTCCAGATGACTCTCCCAGATCAGAGTAATTTAGTAAGATGGGGTAAAAGTACCGAAAAAACTTGCTATTTCTGTGGAAAGGCAGTTGGAACTGCTAAGCATCTGCTGGTGGGATGTAAGGTACTCCTGGACAGCGGTCAATACTCGCGTCGTCACGATAGGGTTCTAGAAGTCATACATGAAGCGGTTAGGCTTTCGGTAGCCAGAGCGCAAAAGGAAATAACCACAAACGAAAAATCAGTAGGTTTTGTGAGCGAAGGCACTAGGGCTACAAAATCAAACGTCAAGCCTTACTCCATCCTTAAAACGGCGTCGGATTGGACTATAATGATGGACACGTATGAAAAACAATATAAAATCCCCGAGGATATTTGTGCGTCGGCCTCCAGACCGGATATATTTTTGTTTTCGCGAATTTTAAAGCGCGTAGTGATGATAGAGCTTACGGTCCCTTGGGAAACCAACATCCCCAAAGACCATACCATCAAGGTCAACAAATATTACGAGCTCACAAACGAACTCACTCGAAATAGGTTCGTAGTAGATTTGTACGCGGTAGATGTGGGAGCGAGAGGTATAACAGCGAAATCTCTCTATAACCTACTAAATGACTTGGGCTTGTCCAGAACTCACATTAACGCATTCTTGGAACGTACATCGAAGGCAGCCCTAGTAGGTTCTTTTCAAATTTGGTTAGGTAGGGAGAGGAGCTTGGACAGTGGAGGTGAGCGTATAACGCGCGTTAGTTAAGGGGCCCCTTAAACCTACACTTGGGTCGCAAGTCCCAGGCACTGTTGAAGCTCCTCTCCCTGCAACGCAATGGACCCGGCACCCGCACGGTGAATACATGGAATGCTGAGTACTTTCGTCTTGATCCAATGTTAGTAAATGACATTGTGCAGACGGTCGTAGAAAAATGTAGCGTCGCCGAAAAGGTTGTCAGGTAAAATAAGAATATGTGACAGATTTTCCTATATTAGATAACAATTTAAGATTTCTACAAAGGAATATTGTTATAAAGAGTTCAACTAAAAAGTTCTTTTGAAATTTCAGGACTAGTTTCACAGATCAAACCAGACCAATTTCAGAGAGAGTTAATTCCCAACCGATGGCTAATATGGATGAGCCAACAGGCTCATATTACAATAATTTTTAACAGTGTCATAACTTCCAAGGGAGTAAGATTATTAGCAGTTATTATATTGTGATAATAAATATCTCATGAATGTCAGACTTGTCATTTACTGAGAACTAGCCCTAACGCTTAGAAAACCGCTGAGAAAAAATCGTGGAAGGTGTTGCCAGGAAGGACAAATTGAAAATCCAGTCCAGTCCTCAAGAAGAAAATAACATACGATGTAGCAACCCAAATGGTTATCAAAGTGAATATACCTCAAAAAGAAAAAGTGGAAAAAGCACTTAAACAATTACATTCCAAAATCGAAATACTGGAAGCGAACTTTAAACAACTAGCCGTTCAGTTTCATACCCATTCGAACGACTACTTCAGACCACAGCAGAGAAGGCGATCTAATAAGCGAAAAAGAATTTTGACAGTCACCACGGTCACGTTAAATTACATATATAATATATAAGTAGTGGCTTTTATCATTCAAACATTCTAACATATCCTTTCAGTGTTCAATGAGATTGCGATTCTACGTTTACTACTTAATTTTTATTCCACCAAATGAATATACAATTATATGTGCATCATATTATATAAATATTATTATAGTCGTGGGTATACACCTTGTATTTTATGTCATAAAATGTAATGGATGTTTTAGTAGTTTATTTTATTAAATGTATTTTATAGATCATATGTTTCAATAAAAACGAAAGTTACAAACTGACCATCTATATTAAGAAAATAATTAATTGATTTTGACCAAGTTCATTTAAACAAGAAAACACCAATAACGATTTGATACCTTAGTCCTATTACTTAATATTATTTTTTGGCCAGAAACACACTTAACATTTAATAAAACATCTCTAAACATCACATATTAACATACACTAATACACAATTTTCTGATACAACATATATAAAAAAAAAACATTATTACTCTTCTTCTTAATGCCGACTTACTCACTTTTTGTTTTCACGGCCCTGGATATCAGTACTTTTGAACCTCCATGCTTGAGATTGACACAGGTTGCCAGCGACAGAGTTATCCAACTAACACGATTATGTGTTTACCGCGCAGAGGGTCCTTATATCTGTAAACAAAATACATATACTTGTCAAAGAATTGAATATTAGCGAGGCTTCCTTTTTAGAGATGACGATGAAACGAGAACATTTACTATTTTTATCGTCAACAATGAAATGTGTATTCAATGCGAAATTTGTTTTCGTTCATAAAAAAATATTTAAAGAAACAGTTCCTTAAGAATCCCATGTTAGCTTTAAATATATGTATTGCGTTAATGACACAAGTACACAATTACCTGACTAATATTTTTAATTATCTAATGTTTGTTTTGGTTTCTTTTTTTCTAATTAAAATAAAAGATTCTTCTAATTCATCATCTGGGCAGATATTTTCTTTTATTGTGGACTTTCACTTCTTTTTGTTTTGTTTGCGGGTTCGTTACTTTTTTCTTTCGTCTGCACATTTTGTTGTGATACTGGTCCTGAAATTTCAATAGAAAATTTAAATTGAAATCTGTATCACAGTATCTCTTTATGAAAATCTTAAATAGTTATTAGATACAGGAAAATCTATCATATTTGATTAAATTTAATAAGACTTTAAGAAGTGGTTATGAATTAAATATAAATCTTGTGATTAACATAATTTAATTTGCAATTTCTCTGAGTATTACACATAGAAACACAGGGGAAGATATAAAACATTGCATTTTTAAATCCTCATATTCATATATGTATCTATTCTGATGTTTTATTCACCACGAAACAAATAATATGTTTTATTATTAATCTCTTCTATTAGAGAACCCTAGAAAGGGAAGCTAAAACTCTACAAAAAATCATGTGATTGTGTTATGTTATGTATGTATAATAGTAACGATATTTAATAATGATTACCTCTAGGAAAGAAGGCTGCAGCAGTTGTCGCGTCTCGGAGGTGTGAGACGTCCAATCCATATTGCTATTATTAACTTGCTTGCACAATAACATCTCCGCTTTCAATGGATACCTGATATAATCAATATAACATATATACTATATATTATGTACCTTTCATATTGAAAATAGTCTTGTCATTTAAAAGTCGACTTATTTGTCCATTAGGCATCGAATCTTGTCTTTTATATTGATAACTAGCTTTCCGCCCGCAGCTTCGCCGCGTGGAGTTCGGTTATATCGCGTTTCCAAGAGAACCTTTCAAAAGTCTGGGATAAAAACTATCCTATGTTCTTTCTCAAGGTCAACTCTATCTCTGTACCGAATTTCATTAAAATCAGTTCAGTGGTTTAGGCGTGAAAGCGTAGCAGACAGACAGACAGACAGACAGACAGAGTTACTTTCGCATTTATAATATTAGTAGGGACTAGTAAACCCGGCGAACTCCGTTTCGCCACCAGAAGGCTTTTATATAACATTTCGTTTGGTGATTAAAAGACGAAGAATTTTTTTTGTTTTATATTTGAAAAGGAAAATTTTATTTCATTTCACAACAGTAATTAATTCATTTCGATAATAAAAATGAAGTGTTATTTCGTTGAACTTCTCTAAGTAAATGAAAGTGAATCCAAAGTAGATACCGAATCGAAGCGTTATACGTGAAGTGCTCCTTTGTAAACCACATTTTTTGTTTTTTGGTCTAATTTTAACACAAATAAAGCGTATCTAATTGTTATATTTATGAGTAATAATGAAATAAAACATTGAACTGGTGGCACACACTTTACTGCTTCCACGTAGATTGACAACTGTCACAAACATTATTTATCTACCTGCTATATGAATTTGTTACAAACACTATATCCCTCCACCACTATTGACAAAATAAATCCAAAATAACTAAAAGTAAACTTAAACTATATCTTTTTGATCCGTGTACTGCGGATCGGAAATCTGCGAGCTGGTTTAATTGTAACATCAGACCCTTCATTAACAGGAAGTACAATATCAGGAGTTTGTTTGTCTGTCATTGGACTAGACACCACAGAGTCTGAACCTTCATTAGAGACCACCTCCTCCAACCGTAATTCAGAATCACCTGGGGTTGCCTCAGGCGCGGTTGAAGGACCAGGAGTATTAGCATCCGAGACTAAATCACTTATTGGAGTAGTCGGTGTCGATTCTATAATTGGACTATTAGACTCTATTGTAGATTCAGACGCTACCTTTGGAGTTACATCAGTATTAAAATTTCCGATTGTACTTATTTCATCAGAGCCAGGAAAATTATAATCTCCCTTATGCAGTAACATTTGATCTATATGTTTTTTTACATTAATTTTAAATTCCGGAATATATATAAGAAAAAGTCTAGGTCCAATTTTCTTTTTAATAATACCTATTTTCCACATATACTTTGTTCCATTTTTATAAAACTGTTTTATTAAGACTTTATCTCCTATTTTGAACTGGATCTTACGAGTTCCGCCAAACTCTTTACGCTGTGATATCTGTTTGGAAACAACATTATCATTAACCATGGATGACGACATTGGATGAGGTAAAACTTTCATAGGTTTCATAAAATCTAGTCTAGAAAGTAATTTTCGTCCTAACAACAATTCTGCCGGAGCAAATCCGGTAGTGCAGTGTATTGAATTCCTATAATCAAATAAAAATTTTAATAATTTCATTTTAATTATTTTTGGACTAATATTTTGCATAAGAATAAGTTTTAGAGATCTTTTTACAGTTTTAACCGTATTTTCGGCTTGACCGTTTGATGCCGGGTGGTACGGTGCAATCGTGACATGTTGTATATTGTTCAATGTACAGAAACTATTAAACTGATTAGAACAAAAATTAGTCGCATTATCCGTTACAAGAGTACGCACTAGCCCAAACCTACTAAACAATTCACATAATTTCGCAATCACAGCTTCACTATCCGTAGTTGGCATATCAAAACATTCAACCCATTTCGAATGTGCGTCCACGGCAATAAGAAAATTTTTACCATTCAACGAAAACATATCAAGATGCACACGCTCCCACGGGCGCTGCGGGAACGGCCAAGGCGTTAGAGGCGCGCGCGGTGGGGCACTCCGTATGGACATGCACATCCTACAAGAACCGATCTTATCCTCAATATGTTTGTCGATGTCCGGCCACCACATACGAGACCGCGCTTCCGTTTTAGTTTTAACTACACCGAAATGGGATGAGTGCAACTCATTCAACATTTGTTCACGAAATATTGTTGGAATAATTACCTTATGTCCACGTAAAATACAACCACTCTCTAGTGATAATTCAAATCGACATAAATAATATGGTTTTAAGTTCATATCTAACACTTTACGTGGCCAACCATTTTTTATGAATTCGGCTACCTGTTTCAGAATCGTATCGCGCTCCGTTTCATATCTAATTTCATTAACTGTAACGGGTTTTAACAATGTGTCAGAAATAAAATTTATTAAACAAGAACGATCTAAATCGTCCGCCAACAATTCTGGTTTATCGTCTTGAGGTCCACAACGAGACAAGTAATCCGCGACATTGCTGTCTCCCTTATACAATTGTAAATTAAAAGCGCTAATAAAATCGCGGCCCAAAAGTACTGGTTGGTAAACGTTAGTCTGAACAACAT